GCCGCCATCCAGGAGATCCGGCGACTGCGGCCTGGCTCCATCGATACGCGGGAGCAGGAGCAAGCCGTGATCCAGTTCTGCCGGTGTATTCAGTAGGTGCAGCCCCGTGATCGGGGGTCTTGTCTCTGTGTCACTCCCCTCCCCAGAGGGGCTCCATGCTGTGCTGGAACCACGGCCGCTGGCATGCTGGGCAAGCGAGCGGCAGGGGGGCTGTGGCTCCCAAAGCCCAGCTCGCCAGTGGGATCTGCCCCACCGCAGCACTGGAGAGGATGGTGAGGAGGTGTGAGCACGACCATCTTCCCGGGGCAGCACGTGCATGACGGGTTCAATGGAGACAGTCACTCCAAAATGGTGGGGGGCCTTTCCCAGCCCCAAGGTGCTGCTGTCTGTCCCCTTCTGCATTAAAGGACTCTCCTGTAGCTTCTCTCCAGGTCTGTATGTGGGGAACGAGTGGGCAGCACACGTGTTCATGTCTCTGCCGGGCTCCCTGCCACCCTGCTGCATCGCCCACCTCGGACGGCAGCCCAACGCTGGGCGGCACGCGTTCTGGCTCTTGAGTGTCTGCCTGGCCTCAGCCCCTGGGGAGGGCGAGTGCCTCCACTTTGGGCACTGGCAGGCGGGTCCCAGACCTGGTTGCCTGCCAAAGCGGTGACACCACGTGGAGGGTGGCAGCTGCGTCAGCACACAGAGGCCGTCCCGGGACGTTGATACTTAAAGTGAAGCTTAGATGGAATTTAGGCATCTCTGTCCAAAAGTCCAATCCTGAAAATCTCTTCTCAGCTGCTCCTAACCTTGGTGGCATTTAAATCCTAAGTGCAAGAGGTGTCACCGTCCCCATTCCCAGTGTGTGGCACATGGCTGGGAGCGCCTGGTGCTCACTGGGCACGATCGTCATGTCCATGCCCCGGGCTGGTAGGGCCATCACCTCTGCCAGGCAACTACATGGCCGCCAAATGTTGCTCTGAAACCCTAAACTGTCATCATCTTCCCTTGGGAACAAAACACCAGGGTGGTGGCACCGGGTACCACTGACAAAACGGTTGTGCCTTGCTCAGAGCCACGGCTGGAGGCAGCTGACTTGTCTCAGGGCAGCTGTAGCACCCCGGTGTTCCCCTCTCCTGGACCCGGCTCCTCCCGCAGGGCCTGGGGTGGGAGCGGCAGGGACGGAGGAGGTGACTGGGGGGAGGGTTCTTCACCACAGGGTGCAGGGCACCCCAAAAAGGAAAGGGTAGAAAGCAGCCCCTGGCTCTGACTGGTGCCCCACAGCCCTTCCCCGGTGGGGATGCGGGAAGCACCCCTGTCCTGTGAGCGATGCCATGGCTCCGATGGGCTGCAACGCCACATCAGGGCGTGGGGCTGTCCAGGGGTGTTCGACTCTGCCTGCACCCCTTGCCTGAGGCATGAGTGGCCGGGGGTAGGGGACAGTCCTGCATGGGGGCAAGAGGGATGGGGACGATGGGGACGGGGACGACGGGGACGGGGCAGCGCTGTCCAGCTGCAGTGCCTAAGCCTGCGGGAGCCGCAGGACTCACATGGGCCCGTGAGATGCAGGAAAGCAGCTTAACTGCAGAATTATTTACTTTAACTCTTCTTACTTTAGCTCTGTCCTTAATAGTCTCCCAGGCTCAGGGGGCCGGGCCAGGCCGGGCCGATGGGGGGGCTCGCGGACCCCCCCT